GGATGGATGGATGGATGGATGGATGGATGGATGGATGGATGGATGGACGGATGGACGGACGGAGGGAGGGAGGGAGGGAGGGATGGTGATGTGGATGGTGCGGTGGGGTTGGGATTTGCACGGATAGGAGATGTTCTTTTTGAGTTGCAGAGTGCCTTTGGAGTGACTGGATCGGAGAGGGATTCTAGATGGTGGCAGAGTGGGAGTAGGTGAAGTGAATGGAGCAAATGGACGGATTGGATTGGATGGCGCAATCTTGTTCACAAAGTGTTTCTGGCTGGTGGCTTGTTAAGATCTGGAACAAGTCGCAGAATACTAATTGACTAAAAAACAACATCAAAACTTATTGGTCTAATTAATATTAACAAGTTCTTTAACACCTTTGGCAAGCAGCGCGATCTTGCAAACAACAGGATTGATTGGACAATTGTGCTTCAACCGAAGCGGGGGTTCGACGCCACAGCACTGTGCGTTGCTGGGTCTCCATCCAAACTGATTCCTGACAGAATCAACTGGTGTTATGTCATGTCTAGCAACTGCCCGCTGCCGTGACCATAGGTGGGCAATGGAGTCGATCTCCTGTTCCCTGGGCATGTTCATGGATAGCTTTCGACCATGCATGAAGATTGCAAGCCACACGGGATCCCCGAAGCCATGACCTTGGCCAAATCAGAGATTGAAGATTTTCCGGTTGAGCACGGCTTCACTAGGAGGTCCCTGTTTTTAACCAGAGTTTGACTTGCTAAGAGCTTTCGATTACGGAGCAAATCCTTCCTGACTGGTTGGGGATCTGGCGCCAGGACGTTCGGCCGAACCGAATTGCTTCAAAATGTATTTTGGGAGAGCTGAAATCTACATTGACGGTTCCAAACCCTTCCCTTTCCTTCTACTTGAAGTGTACACCCACCCATATCTCAAAAAATAGATATACGTCCACAGCTACATCCACCTGATGACCTGTGAATGTGAGAAAAATGTAGCACAACTGTCGCAACCCGGCTCAGTTTTAACCCCCTTAAACCTTAGAGATCCTTGGAGTCTTCAGACTTTGGAGATCAACCCACCCGGGTCATCCGTCATGCCCCGGGTCATCCGTCCTGGGTCAAGGATGCCGTCGTTTGCTGCTCAATCCTCGTCACCACCTCCGACACATTTGCATCGCCTAAAGGCCGGCGTGGGCGGAAACAAACCGTGTTCTGAGTGACTCCCATCTCCGGTCTACATGGATCGTCGGAAAATATGCACAGAATTCAGCATCTCGACCGAAACGCGGCACTGGCCTTTTGGATGCCGTGGTCCCAACCGGAAGTTTCTGCGGGAATTGGTTTGGACATGTTTGGACCGGATTCATCGGAGTTTGCATGAAGAACTGGGCGGCAAAGATCCGTGGCGAAATCTCTCAAACTGGTGAGTTCGCAAGATGACCCACGAAAAAAACACTAAGGTTCTGATGATAAACCTATTGGCTACAGGCTAGAAGCCCGATATGTAATGAAACCAGACTCAAAAGGCGACCCGTTGGTTGAACCCATACAATCAATACAACTCAAACAGTGAATATTCCAAGTGCCGCTCTGTAAGGCAGTTGATTAACAAAGAGCATCGAGGAGATGCGCAAAAATCTCTCAGACTCTACAGCAATTTAAGTAGAGTGACATGAATGCATCCATATGGGTGTGCATTAGAATAGGGAGGCCCTCCAACCACTAGGGTTTGGCTGATTGCTCACTCTTACTGGGGCCTTTGCATCATAACAAAACCGTATCCTTGCAAATTGAAACTTATGTTGTGTCCTATTTGTAGCCATCTTGGAGTAGATGCTTTTAGAATTTCCATGGATCTCCACTCCAAATGAAAATTCAAAGGCTGGGTCGAAACTCTGCACTCTGCAATGCCATTGAAATGCATATCACCCCAAAAATGCCCCAAACATCTTCATCATCTTGCTCCAAACCCCCCAAACACCGGAGCGCCTCCAAGCGAGATCTCATAGACCAGCTCAGCTTGCGACTGCACGCGCCGTTGCGACCCTTCCATCCGGACCGTTCCCGTGCACCTGGCGGCGGCTCGGTGAAGGGGGCACCGGACATAATCGACATTTGAAAGAAAGGAATACTTTGTGTAGAAGTGAGTATGTGTAGAAAAATGCTTTCAAAATCGTATACTTTTCTCAGGAAACGGTGCAACGCGAAGGTGGAGAAATCGCCGACATCCCAGTCTCTATAGTCGATGGATTCGATTAGGAAGATTAGGAGTGTTGCAACGCTGATGACGTTGCTTGCAGAAGTAACCAATTACGCTATACATATAATATGGGCATTCCACACTTCCAGAATTTGAACTGCGGCTGGCGGCTGAAAACCCCGTCAACCTCATACTTCTGATAGTCAATGCATGTCAATGCACGTGCCTCCTTAGAATGCGACACGTTCTGACATGAACACGCATCAACCACCATTCAGCTGAGTCTTCCGGATCTTTCTATCAACGTGCCATCGCATGGTGTCCCACCGACCGTGACGGACCGTCGAAAGAACAGCTGCGAAAGGGCCGTGGCGCCACGGTCTTCGCACGGTGTTCGCTTCTGACTTGAAACACTTTCCTTCCCGATGAGCCCTAACTCCCTTCACCAGCAACATGCGAACAATGTTTTTGAAAGTCAGAAACCATTCCCAAAAACCTGAGGACATCGGCAACATCAGCGTGACGATTGCTGAGAAGCCGTTTTTCGAGGCGCACAACGCACGGTGAAGGTGAAAGCGCGAAGGAACAGCTGCTTGGCGTCTGCTCAAAGTCTGCAGTCCGCAAAGCGAACACACCTTCCAAGCTCTGGTTGAACTTCTCGGCGAAGGGCAAAGCAAATAGCTTGGCAATGTGAAACCTGCTCTGGCGTTTCATTCTGAACAAATTGCCGGTCAAAGTCCGCAAGCTGCTTGGCAACGTCCCCTTCTGCAAGCGGTTTTTCCGTCATGCTCGGTGCAACTCTGCAGGTTGCTTGGCACGGTGAACCATCCCAGGCAGGGTCGAACAGCGGTCGGCCTGCGGTCTGGGCCCCATGGAACGCTGCGCGCTGGGCAGTTCTTGCTGCAGATGCTTGGAGGAATCCTGGAGGACTTGACTGTAACAAAGAGAACAAGCTTTCCACCAATTGTGTCAACTCTTGCTCTTGCTGCGAAGATCTTGGAGAGGTCGCCCGCCTTGTGACTTCGAATTGAAGGTTGGGAAAGACACAACTGAAAAAATCCAGGTTTAATCATTCCAATCTTGTTCGCTGAAAGAATATCAGGCCACAGTCATGTCATTCAAGCTCCCACGAGTACATCAGGAACCGAACCCAGGGTGTCGGAACGCCGGCTCTCTCGGTCTTCCTATTTTGGACCGACCGACCAACACTCCCGGAACTTCCCGTTCAGGTTTCGTTGTTTTTTCCAGTTCAGGTCTGTTTCTTCAAGGAAGAAAAGAAAATTCAAGGCATTCACCTGGATCTCAATAAGAAGCGGTACCATGTGTATACCCGTGTATTCACCTAGGGTTGGTCTTGCGCAGTCTTACCATACTCGTCACTTCACCACGCACGAGTCACCCCCGCACCACTCTCCAAGCCGCTCCAGATCTGCGATGCACTTCTGCGGTGCGCTTCGCCGTGGTGGCAGCGTCCGCACGACACGTGGTGGCACCGTCGTGCTTCTGTGGGTCCATGGTGGTCCATCTTCAGGGATGGGATGCTTGCAGGACGGTCATTGGCCGTGTTGGATGATTTGCTCACTGGAGAAGCTGAGATTCTGCATCGAAGCTGTTTTTTTGAAGCTGACTACATGTTGCATGAACCTTCTTACTCCCACAAAGTCATGCACATCTGCCGAATCGGCAGAGCCCGAACGATGAAACTCTGCGAAACTGCAGCTGTCGGGTTCACCGTCTGACGGCTCAGCATCGCAGCATCGCAGCTCCTCTCGGTGCATCACCGAGAAGCCTCACACAGTAGCGAACTGCCCCCTTTGTCTTGTCATCTTTGCGAACTGCCATGAATGCAAACATTGAAATCCTGGAAGTGAACATCACGCAAGCTGCTTGGCAACGTGACGCCTTTCAAGAATCTCAGCTCTTCGTGAAAGGTCAAAGTATGCAGGCTGCTTGGCAAGATGACACGTTCCAAGCCCTGGCTGAAACAAGGACCCAAGGTCAAATTGTGCAGGCTACTTGGCAAGGTGACAGCTTCCAAGCTCTGGTCAAAGTCAGAACCAAAGGTCAAAGTATGTAGGCTCTTTGGCAAGGTGACACCTTCCAAACTCTGGTTAAACTCGTAGCCAAAGATCAAAGTCTGCAGGCTGCTGGGCAAGCTGACACCTGCCAAGCTCTGGTTGAAACTACAGCCGAACTCCAAAGTCTGCAGGCTGCTTGGCAAAGTGACACTTTCCAAGCTCTGGTTGAATCTATCGCCGAACTCCAAAGTCTGCAGGCTGCTTGGCAAGGTGACACCTTCCAAACTCTGGTTAAACCGCTCGCCCAAGGTCAATGATTGGAGGCAGCTTGGCAAGGTGACACCTTCCAGGCTCTGGTAGAAGTGCCCAAAAAAGGACAATGTCTGGAGCCTGCTTGGTAAGCTGACACCTTTCAAACTCTGGTTAAAAGCTTCGCCAAAGGTCAAGGTCTGCAAGCTGCTTGGCCA